TAACTTATTAATTTATACATACTTCGTTATCAGGCACCTTGCTGACAAAAGCAACGGGATGTTCGTCGTCTGTAGGGTGTGGTATACCAACCACCCCCACTTCTAGAACTGCAGGATGAGATTGCAGAAGGGTTTCAATTTCCGTCGGCGGTATTTGGTACCCCCTGTATTTAATAATTTCCTTCAGTCTGTCGACGATGAAAAACTCCCCTTTCTCGTTGTAATAAGCTAAATCGCCACTGTGTAACCATCCTGAAAAAGCAAGGTAATTAATTCATTAAATTATACCATCGTCCATACATTTTACCTTTATATTATTATTACTTTCTATTATTTTGTCCTTATGTTATTAGACTTTTTATTATTTTTTTATTTTACCTTTATATTATTATACTCATTGAAAAACTTGATTTATTGTAACTGTTAAAAGAATAATAATAAATTGTTCAAAGAATCTATTTAAAATTCTAAGCACAATTAGAAAATCTGAATTTCTACAATTAGAAATAGCAAATCAGTTTACCATCTTTGTCAATGGCGTTCTTGGTAGCTTCAGGGTTTTTAAAATATCCTGTCATCATTGTCCACGATTTCGCGCAGAGTTCGCCATTTTGACTTGGACCAAGTATCTCTCCCGTTTCAATATCTATGATTTTCACTTCAGAGTTTGTCACAACCACGCCACAAGATCCGCTCGTGGTATCTGGTAATTGTACAGTAATCAAACCACCAAACTCCGTCATACCTGAAAAGAGAAATCGTCTCCTGTATCAAAGTATGAAGTAAACCTTTTAGTCTTACATTATTACGCCAGTTCTTTGCAGTGTTTCACATAAATATTTTTTTCATTCGCAATTTCAGTTTCTTCTCGACTCACCGTATGCTTGTAGAACTGTTGTATTCGGTAAGTGTTTTTTTAATAAATCTTGAGATTCTTGTTTCAATGTCGCACCACCAGTGAACAGCGTATCCAAAGTACTGAGATCATAATCCTGCAAGCGATGATATCGTACGAATCGATTTGACATACTGGTGCTGAGCATCAACCACGTGATCTGAAAAAACGATCGTTCATAATAGAAGAGGCAGGAAAGAATGAATTTTCACACTAGTTAACCCCAATTGATACTATATCAGTCGAAGAAGTGCAGAGTAAATTTAAAGAGTATTGACGTAGAATGGTTGTTTATCGTGATGAGGGTAATATTAACTTCAGGAATCATCGTCATTGTATCAATGAAAAAAGACACAGTGAAGAATTCACATTTCTTACGAATTTTTTTTGACGAAAAAAATTACAATTAAAATCCAATTCGTACGATATACGTATTACTTATGATCTCGAAAATTAATTATACTAATTAAAATCCAATGAAATTCACGATAAATCGTAAGTACATTAATCTTTCGTAAATATCCTATTATCGGATCCTAGATAAATTAAGCGAAATTTTATTCTTGAATTATTTTCCTCCGCAAGTTTATTTTTATTCAGAAAATTTCATAATATTACAAGGATATAAATAAAAGTCCAAGGATTTTTCCCATATTTTTTGCAAGACTACTAGATATAAAAGAATTAGATTTAGAGATATAGAATTCAGTTTCCTCACGAAGGTGTTAATAATCTACATTGGAAATGGCACATTTCCACATAAAGTTATAGGCATAAAATTTGACTATTATTCAATTATTATTAAAAAAAAAAAAACATGTAAGTTAAATGATCAATTATTGTTTCAAGTTTCCGGAAATCAATTAATTTATTAAAAGAAAAGTTAACGAAAACAACGATGAATCACTGTCACCTTAAACTTTTCGATAATTTCACAGGCAGATTTCTCATCGAATTCCGGAGCGATGATTTTCTTGGAGCGAGAAGAGATACTCTTCAGACTAAGTAGCGATCCGCTGATCCAGTACAAAGAACTGAACCACATTGATACATGTGAGTTCAGTGCAAGGCCATCGTTCAACTGTAGCGTATTTATAATTGATCTGTGAGGGACTTGCGTGCCTTTCGGCAAGCCCGTTGTTCCAGACGAGAACAGAATTATACAGGTGTCCTCGGCATCCTCGATCTCCACGCATTGGAAGTTCTCCACTGCCGATTTCGTATGGCCATTCAACGTCTCCGAGAAAGGTATTGTGCCGAGATAGTGGCCGAAAGTAACCGTTTTCGGCTGACAAGTCTCGATCTTCGCCGCCTCCACCACCACAGCCATCGACTTTTCATTCGCGAAAATCACCTTCGGTTGTGCCAATGTCATGAAATGTCTAGCCAATTCTAGAAAATTGCAGTGATTAATTGACCATTATGCAAGCGCATAATTCCTGTATTACGCAAGTGCGAATGGAAACAATAGTCCATTGAATAGTCAAGAATAACCAAGGTTTTTATAAGTTTCTTTGACTTCTACGAAGAAGTAGAAATTTATAATTTATTTAAAATTTTCTTCTATCTATCATTATTTACTCCTATTAATTTCTAGTTTTATTCTTCTTATGTATTTCTAGAAAAATAGTAGTGAATATCTTCTAAAAAGTATAATAATAATGAATAATAAAGAATGAAAAATGTCGAATGTCCATTTTAGTTTTTGTGAATACTTTTTTTTTTAAGCTCAGGAAGTCGAACGATTTAAAGTTCATATACAAAATAATTAAGAACTTAATGATTTAAACAAGAAGGAAGCACCAATTTTGTAGTTTCGTCAAAAATATATATATATAAAACTAGTCGATGTAAATCAAACTTCTGCCAGTAAAAATGGAAATTTCATTTCTTATAAATACATTAATACTATGATAGAATTACAATGGTATTTCCATGATAACTTATTAAAATTAAATCTTGTATGTGCAAAAAAATGGAAAAAAAATTATTATTAATTACAATTAATTATCATGATTTGCAGAACTTACGAACGTTCATCCCATAGTCCCATGGACTGACAATGGCACCTAGATAGAGCGCAGCAATATAAGGAATTACAGTATCCATATGATTGTGCGAAGAAATTGTGACAATGTCCCCTTTCCCGATTCCATGTTTTTGCAACCACAGTGCACACTTTATTGTACGGTCTGCAATGTCCGCGAAAGTTTCCTGTTCCTCTGTGATCGCGTCTACCTAAAATGTTTCGATCGATTGACAACAACAACGATCCAACATGAAATTTTAAAGACCAAGGTGTAGAAAATTAATAAAGGAAGCAGTTGGATTATGTAGGCTAAATTATTAATAAATAAAATATGAGGGAAAACCTCTTGCGCGCAATAGCTCGAAAACTCAGCGAAAAAAATCATATTCTTTATATACATTAATTTACTGATCAAGTTAGAAGTTGCAAGATATGACTTATAATTTGTAAAATTATTATTTAAAAGATAGTTATTTCTAGAAACCTTCAGAATGAATTTCAATGGAAAAAAAAAGATATAATTATCTACATTTTTTTATAAGTGTAATAAGTAGATGTACATTCATGCAAATACACGTGCTGTTGACGTTGTTTCGTCGTTGAGAGATTTACCTGTACTTTTTTATCGTATACATTATACAATTGCATAATGCTTTATTACGTAACTATACTATATAATATTTTTGTTTTGAGAGTATACAAACATAGTGAATATGCATGTATCATATTTATCTCGCTTTATCAATGATGACTATCCGTAAATATCATGATAATATTACTCATAAATAAAAATTACTTATTGTTTATTATAATACAAGTTATAATACTTCGCTATAAAATAAAACGCGTGTTACGTATTATTTTTCTATTTATATATATGTTTTATATTTTATCATCATTACCATATTATTTATTACCATATTACTATTTATATATATGTTTTATATTTTATCATCATAAATGGTATAATTTATGTGCATAAACATCGTATTCGTACCATGTCTGTTATAGGAAGTTGCATATAGTGCTATTACAACATATTAATGCAATTAGAGGAATCAACATGTAATGTCAGTTATAAGCACATTCATTGTTAAGGCCAACGTATCATTTATGACATGGACATGCTCCAGACCTAGTGTTTCAAATTAGAAATTTTTAAACATATTTCTGCAGTTTGCAACTATTAAATCACTTGAAGAATTTACAATTAGGTGCTCTATAAATCTCAATTAATTTCAAGGAAGTTTTCATAATAGCATGCTATAAACAAAAAGTGCATATCAGAAGCATCGTGCAAACAACAAGATAACGGTCTTCAAAAGATGATGAAACCCTCTCGATAACGAAGCACTCTCATGGGTGCTAATTCTAAGAATCTCTCCCACATACTGCTCAGAGCCTTTGGAAAGAGCAGACCAAAATCTGATTATATAAATATGACTCCGAGGAGATTACAAGACAGTGGCTAACCATCTAAGATCAAAATCAGTAATTATACATTTGGCTCAGTAACTAATTATTCAGCATTCAGTAACTAATTACTAACTCAATATTTGCCTAATCGGTGCCGTAGTCTTTTAAGACCTAGTTATCTGAATGGGGTAAAAGCCTAACTCAGAGTAAACTTGCAAAAACTAGAATTATTGTACAATAAAGTCAGTGTTATTCAAAATAGACTCATTCACTTCCCACATGAATAGATGGTCCTTCAACCACCAAGTGACACATCCAAAGATACACAGTCAATATAAGTGTCTTTAACATTATAAGTTGTCAGAATATTTGATAATATGTAAATATAGTAATTACTATAGTAATTATAATGTTAGAGACAACTTATAATGTTA